TAACCTTCGCTGGTATACGAGGTTTGTTGAAAAAATAGGTGAATGTTCAAATTTCGCAGGCTAAGTACATTCGATTAGCGATTTTTTTATTTCTTTATTAGTACACTTGAACATATGTTCACAGTTTCGGCTGTTTGTCATGTTCAGTTTGTTGGTGAGAGGCATAAAAGTAAGAAGTTTTTTGCGTTTTCGGCGATTTTCTGTTATCGAGAAAAATTGACCAGAGAATTGGCATAAAATTGTGTGTAAAGAATGGAATTCAGGGCTCAGTTCTGAGTCAGAAAAATGTTCACAAGTGGTACAAGCTTTCCACAGAAAGTTGAGAATACATTAGAGATGTGCCGATCATTACATTTGAATGAAATATATAACTGTTGCACTTGGATCAAGGAAATGTTCGAAACCTCTCTAATGACTTGTCAAATTTCTAACATATATTTAAATGCGTACATGTTATATGAGAGTGTGTGTATTTGTGTAAATATATTGTATTGCATTGATAATTACACTTATTTTGTTCTCACGATAATTGTATACTTGATTTTATTGTTAGTAATTTTTGTATAGTACTCTCGATCAATTTAGTTCTATACAGTCATGGTGTATCCGCCTACACACAATCAGTACCTACTGCTTCCTTGGTATAGTCCATCCATTCCCAATTGGAACGGCAATAAAAATGAAAGTACAGTCATAAACATTTCTTGCCTGTGGCCCCTAGTCGCCCAGATACTCAGTAAACGTGCTATCAAATGTGGTTCAGTAATAAAGGCTCGGCTAACTGGACTGGCTGAATACTAATTTTTTGTCCGTTTCACAATATTTCTTTATCAGTGCCGTGTGTTCGTGGGGGGTTAGGTGAGGTAGTGAGTGGTTTTGCAAACCAATTTTTGAAATTTTTTTTTAGAGATCAATTACCCTAACACCGAACTGATATTTTTGCACTCGAAGCGGGTTTCGCTAACAAGATTAGCATTTTTAGGAGAAGCAAATTGATACTGAATCTTAAGACAAGAGTTAGCTGTTTATATACCTAAAGTTTTTTGGTCCGATGTGGACTTTGTTAAATGATGATTATCCTAATTGATTTTTTTGGTAATTAACTAGTGGAACCACTACCTGCAAATTATTTTTTGTCAACAATAGATTAAAAAGCGGACAAATTAATTTGCAGGTGGTGGTTTCACTAGTTTATTACCGAAAAATCAATTAGGATAATCATCATTTAACAAACAAAGTCCGCATCGGACCAAAACACTTTAGGTACATAAATAGCTAACCCTTGTCTTTAGATTCAGTATCACTTTGCTTTCCCTGAAGATGTTAACCTTGTTAGCGAAACGCACGTCGAGTGCAAAAATATCAGTTTGGTGTTAGGGTAATTGATCTCTAGAAAAAGTTTTCAACTTTTACACCAGAGGTTCCAATCTCATCGTTTAAACCTATTTTTGTGAAAATCTTAGTGTTTTTGGGTACTTTCATCAATATGGCTTTCTGGAGACCTTTTGAAACAAATGATAACATTACGTTTGAGGATAAGAATATTTGAAGCGAATGAAAAGCTACCGAGAATCCAGTAGACATATAATCTACCTCGACGAAACTTGGTTTGACACCCATGATGTTGTCAAATATGGCTAGGTAGACGAAACCATGTATTGTACTTTGAACACACCTTCTTCAAGAGGAAAACGTATTATAATTTTGCATGCCGGGAATGAAAGTGGTTTCGTACCTAACGCTTTGCTTCTGTTGGCCAAAAATATATAAGATTCGCCTGCTGATTACCACGAAGATATGATTGCGGCTTTATTCGAAACCTGGTTCAGTGAGCAGCTTCTCCCAAATATTCCTCCAAACTCGGTTATTGTTATGGATAACGCTTCGTAACACAAAAAAGCAGATATTGTTGATTTCATCCATCCTCCAATCTCACGTGAGATTTTTCAAAATGTGGGTTTCTTACGTAAACACGTTGGATGGTTATTGTAAAAAGAAAAAAAATTGCTTCGTGCTTTTATTTACGACTAGTTAAGATTAGTAATCAATATTGCTGAGAGTTTAATTTCAAGTGTAATAAAAATTCAACAATAGAATACTTAAATCGTGACTACTGTGATTAAAAAAAGAATATCTACTCTAATTCAGTCCATGGAGAATCATGCGCGGTCTCAGGAGAGACTATTGGAACCAACATGTCCATATGATTTTCAGTAAAATCATCTGCTCTTTGGGACGGGCTACACTGTACCGTAAATTCAGATTAAATTGAGCTATTTGGTATAAAACAAATATGGTGGTTTGACAGTCAGTAGATGTATAACGTTGAAGTATGAATGAAATTATTTTCTTTCGAACGAATTAGTAAATGATTTTAATCGTATTACGATTACGCTTAAGATTAAATCTTAAGCATGTACAATCTGGAATATGTTGTTTTCTGCTTTTTATCATTGTATTGGAGCTGCACCTATATCGCAATGTATTTTTAATAGCATATGTCGTTATTTTTCAAACTAAAAATGTTTATTTTCAATTTCTATGTTAGTAATATGTTTAATATAATATTGTGTATTAGGATTACCTATTTCAATGAATATATTCTTCTTTCTCTTGCTTCATTGCTAGGACTTGTCACAGACCGTGTTGTGTTGTTTAGGTGTTTGTTATTTGTGAAGAGTTTTTGAGGAAAGTTACAATACGCATATGGTTCTTGAAAATGGATCGTTAGTTGAAAAGTGGGTCGTTTAAATGAGAAAGGAAAAGGATGCATTTGATGCATGAAAATGCAACTCTTGCATCTAATGAGGTATCTCAGCTTATCGCTAAATGTGAGAAAAGCCATACAATTGCTGAAGAACTTATATTACCATCAGCAATAATTCTATGCAAGAGAGTGTTAGGTGATGCAGCCGCTAAGCTACTAGGTACCTACTGTTCCACTCTCTAACAATACTGTCCAAAGACGAATTACTGATGTGGTACATAACGTTGAAGAAACATTGCTGGTCAGACTTATGACATTTGACATGTACGCTCTGCAGTTGGCTGAAAGTACAGATATATCAAAAAGCAATAATGTTGGTTTTCATACGATAATTGTGGGAGGACCAGATATTCGAAGATTTTCTTTTTTCGTGCGAACTTCTTCACACAACAGCAGAAGATATTTTTACTGCATTTTTTTCAATGAACATGATATTACGTGGACAAAATGTGTGGGACTGTCTACGGATGGAGCAAAATCAATGGCTGGCAATTCATCGTGAAGCCTTAGTTGCCAAAAGGTTACCTGAATTTTTGTAGAAGACCCTTGAATGTGTCAAACTTAAGTTTGCGAGGGCACAATGTGGACATGTTCACAGTTGAAGACTAGAATAGTGCCATGGTCAAAAAGTGCCAGATCTGGGCGACACGGATAAAAAATGAGTAATGTACTAACTTTCCTTCTTTAAACCAATTTCTGGAGTCTTCAAAAAAGAGTTTTCCTGAACAGATAAAAATTATTGTAGCTGAGCATCTACGCAGCCTGGCCTCCACTTTCAGGGAATATTTTCCTGAACCTGATCCTGACGATAATTGGATTCGAAATCCCTTCAGCTGCCAAGAAATAGATAGAATCCAAGACCTCACCGAAGAAGAACAAGACCAATTTGTAGATATTTCTAGCTATGGTACGATAAAAAGCATTTTCAATGGTGAAAAAATTGCAGACTTCTGGGCCAAAGCACGCAAGGACTGCAAAAAGCTTTTAGATAAGGCAATGAAAAAGATACTTTCGTTCGCAACTACCTATCGGTGTGAACAAGCATTTTCCTCCATGTGCTTCATGAAGAACAATTACAGGAATCGGCTCGACATGCGGTCGGCATTCAAAGTGAAAGTGTCAAGTCTGGAACCAAACATTTTATAAATATTTGACTCAGGTCAGATTCAAATTATCCCATTGAGAAAAATCTTCAACAGTTTTTGAAAAATGTATAACAATAAAGACAACATTCAGAAAAAATTTAGGCTTAATCTTTTTTCTAAAATATCAACCTTTATTTCTAAAACAATAAAAAAATGAGAACTCTTAATTTGGCTCTTTTTAGGTTCAACTTATTGAAGGAGGGAATAGAATATTTTAACTTTAGGTTTATGAATTATTCGTGGTCTTTGCCGTTATGTCAGATGGATGAAGGGGTCCTTGCAAAAATATTGTTAGGAATTCCTGTCGTAGCTATTCAGCTGAAGACACAAATTCAGTTTGAAATTTGTCGTATCTACAAACTATACTGACTTTACAATGCAAAAATGTCGTATCTGATATTACTAAGCAAAATTATCGTATCTTCGATAACATTGGCAGATACGACAATTTTGCTTAGTAATATTCGAGAACATTGGCAGATACGACAGACCCAATTGGAAAGAAAAAGAAAGGTCTATGATTTTCAAGACTTCAAAGAGTGTGTACAAAATGCTCATCCCAAAACAAAAGTGATCGACGTTAGTAGAAGTATTGAAAACTTTTTCGACTGGCCAGATCACACATCTTTAACAAAGCTGAAAAATTCGAATCCTAGACCATATATGTCTGATATCGTACATTAGAAGCTAAAAAGGGGTGAGAAGACCTTACAATACCGAAATTCTTTCGCAGATGATTTCATCACATTGAACTTTCTGAAAGCTGATCAAATGAAAAGTGATCTGAGTTGCCCCTCTGCCAAAAAAAAGCTTGGAGGAGGAATATCGAAAAACAGGAAGTATACTCTTCTGCAAAAGCTGTTACTAATTCTACCAATCCCTAGGCGACAGTTCTGGGAAAATGTTCCTGAAACGAACGGCGACTAGGAGGAGAGTAGTATTATTGATGATGAATAACTTCATGATAACCGAAATTGCATCCTCTTACTAGTTTTTATTCATACAGGCATATAATAATAAGCAGTAATAATATAATGTTTATGTTCCATTTGATCTCCTATATATTTGTGTTCACTTACGACATTCTGTATTGTACTTTTCGAATTTCTCATAAAAAAAAGTCGTATCTGCATTTATTTTTGAATTTTTTGAAATATCACAACGAAATACCACTGAAAAAATGGCATTCACCAATATGTACTCCCACCCCGAGAATGATCAATTTCCTATTAGAAATGTGGATGGCATTGAAATAAGTCCTAAAATGCGATTATCTCAAAATGATCAGATTGTCAGTTACGACCTTCTTCCTTAGCACGGCAGTATTGCTCGCCGTTAACAGTGATCCATCGTAGTTCTCGAAGAAATATGGACCAATGACGCCGCCAGCCCAATATCCACACCACACAGTGATTTTTTCGGGATATACTGTACGCTCTTGGATCTCATGTGTATTGTCGCAAATTCGACATTTTTGTTTGTTCACGCAACAATTCATCCAGACATCTCATCGCTGAAGATGATTTTTCGATGAAAATTTCGATCAGTTGATAACTGCACCAGAACCCATTCAGCAAACACACGTTGTCAGTGACGACTCGTGCATTGGAGAACAGGGGAGGCTAAAGTCGTAAAGACTATACAGCGTGACTCACGGTCGATGGTAGGTTAGACGTTTCTGGAAAACGCAAAGCATGATTTTTCTGAAAATTTCACCTCTCACATTTCCTTACCTGTTCTATCGATCTAAAATACTTTTAGCATTGCGGCGTTGCCACTTCCATCAAAAAGTCCTAGCAACTTTATTTTTTTGAATGGAACACCCCATATATTAATTTTTTTGGCTTCTGTTATCATTTCTTCCTTCTTCTCAGTATCGTTTTTATTCATTCTACAATTGATTTCAATATATTCTCTCACTGATTCACCCACTGTATTTGCGATATCCATCGTGATCAGGTTGGTGTTTTTGTTCTGCTGTTCTGGGACTCCGTACAATATTAGATGTTTTTTGAGTGTAGTATACGTTGGTTCAGTTAATCATATTCTTTCGTAATTGATTTCAGTTTTATTGATACCTCATCTGTAGTTTTTTTTTGTCAAAAATGTCTGACATATTCTCCACCGATTTCTTCTGTTATTGTATTTTCTCTTCTAGGTATTGTATTTCCTCATCGTCACAAAAAACTTTTGGAGCATTTTACTTAAGATACTTTTTAGTTTTGCTTCATCTAGGGTTTAATTCCTGTTTGATTTTTCCATTGTTTTGGTAAGCATAACCTCACTTTTGGTACGTGTATCACAGCATACTTCTTGTTTGCCATTCATTGCATTTGCCTGATTTTCACAGCTTAGATGGAATGCTGATGCACAATTTTTGCAGTCTATCGGGTTTGTAAATTTTTTTTACAGTGTTCACAGCAGTTTTCATTCTCTAAAGATTTCACGTGACTTTTTAACATATTGACATATCACTTTGAGGACCTTAATGGAGATTGGGGTTTTTGATAGTTTGAAACGTATTAGAAAGGCCAAAAAGTTCGGTCGGTGATCCACGATTTGAACGATCGACAAAAATTGTCACGTTTCGAAGTCTGTTCTATGCTCTTTCTTAATCAGGACGATTCTTTTTGGATCGGATGGTCACGTGCGCTGAATATGAACCCTGTACGACAACAAGAGACGTTCTAGACCAGTGGTCGCCAATCTGTCGATCGCGAGCTACCGGTAGCTCGCGGAGGCAATTCTGGTAGCTCTCACAACGATTTTAATTTATAAAATACAAACTGCAGAAATCAGAGAAGCTTCCGAAAATTCCACAAAAAATCTAATTGTCACAATATTAAACATAAACAGCGGCAACGTTGCGGTGAGCGATCTGCCGCTGACGCCATCAAGCTAGAACCGACCAGCCGGACCAGCGCGTTAGTGTTCAAGAACGATCTGGATTGCTTTGAAAGAGATAAATACGCATGGCGTGGCGACATTGCGCTTAGTTTAAAACTGAACGCGTAACCAACGTCCAGCGGTTGGGTTAGTAGAGAACAACAAAAATAATATTATGGCAAGCAGTTGTAAGAAGGTAAAGACATACCACTTTCATTCGGAATGGGAAGAACAATACTTTTTTACAGAAGTTAAAGATAAAAATGTGTGTTTGTTATGTAATACTTCGGTCTCCGTTGCTAAAAAAGGAAATATTGAGAGACATCATAAAACTGTACATTCTAATTTTGAAAAATCATTCCCACTACATTCTGCCGCCAGAAAGGAGAA